CATCCATCCTCTATTATCCATCCATCCATCCATCCATCCATCCATCCTCTATTATCCATCCTCTATTATCCATCCATCCATCCTCTATTATCCATCCATCCATTATCCACCCATCCTCTATTATCCATCCATCCATCCATCCTCTATTATCCATCCATCCATCCATCCATCCTCTATTATCCATCCATCCATCCATCCATCCATCCATTATCCATCCATCCTCTATTATCCATCCCTCCATCCAACCATCATCCATCCATCCATCCATCCTCTAATATCCATCCATCCATCCATCCATACTCTTATAAATCCATCCATCATCCATCCTCTATAATCCATCCATCCACCCCCAAATCCCATCCCATTTGTCTATTATCCACCATCCATCCATCCATCCTCAATTATCCATCTCCATCCATCCATCCTCTATTATCCATCCATCCATACCATCCATCCATTTCACATCCATCCATCCTCCATCCATCCATCCGCTATTACCATCCCTCCATCATCCATCCATCCATGCCATCCATCCATCCATCCTCTATTATCCATCCATCATCCTCCAGGATCCATTCCATCCCCATTCCATCCATCCTCTATTACATCCATCCATCCAGCATCCATCCTCGATTATCCATCCAATCCATCCATCCATCCATCATCCATCCATCCATCCATCCATCCTACAAACAAAACCATCCATCCTCTTAATTATCCATCCATCCATCCATCCATCCTCCATTATCCATCCATCATCCATCCATCCATCCATCCATCCATCCTCTATTATCATCCATCCAACCCATCCCTTCCATCATCCTCCTATATCCATCCATCCATCCATCTCTATTATCCACCCATGCCAATCCTCTATTATCCATCCATCCATCCAGTATCCATCCAGCCATCCTTCCATCCATCCCCATCCTCTATTATCCATCCCGTCCAATCCATCCATCCATCCATCACCATCCCAGCCATCCATCCATCCTCTATTATCCATCCATCCATCCATCCATCCATCATTATCCATACATACCATCCATCCTCTATTATCCATCCATCCATCCATCCTGCCATCCATCTCTATTATCCATCCATCCATCCATCTTCCATCATTCCATCCATCCCTCCATCCATACCCCTATTATCCATACAATATCCATCCATTATCCATCCATCCACCATCAATCCATTGGTCCATCCATACCATTATCCATCCAACCATCATTGTCCCACATCCATCCATCCATCATATCCCCCATCCATCCTCTATTATCCATCCATCCATCCATCCTCTATATCACATCCATCCATCCTTTATCCATCCATCCTTATTATCCATCCATCCATCCATCATCCATCCCATCATCCAGCAATACTTCCACACATTCCCATCCTCTCTTATCCTTACATCCATTCATCCATCCATCATCCTCTAGTATCCATCCAATCCTTCCATCATCATCTATTATCCATCCTGAATTACATCCACCGCTAGTATCCATCCATCCATCCATCCATCCATCCTCTATTATCCATCCATCCATCCATCCATCCATCCATCCATTATCCATCCATCCATCCCTCCATCCATCCTCTATTATCCATCCATCCTTCCATCATCCATCCATCCCTCCATCCATCCTCTATTATCCATCCATCCATCCATCCATCCATCCATCCATCCTCTATTATCCATCCATCCATCCATCCTCTATTATCCATCCCTCTATTATCCATCCATCCATCCATCTTCTATTATCCACCCATCCATCCATCCTTCCATCCATCCATCCTCTATTATCCATCCCTCCATCCATCCATCCATCCATCATCCATCCATCCATCCATCCTCTATTATCCATCCATCCATCCATCCATCCATCAATTATCCATCCATCCATCCATCCTCTATTATCCATCCATCCATCCATCCATCCTCTATTATCCATCCATCCATCCATCCATCCTTCCATCATCCATCCATCCATCCATACATCCCATCCATCCTCTTTTTCCTCCATCCATCCATCCTCTAAATTAATCCTTCCACCTTGCCATACATCCTCTATTATCCCCATCCAATCCATCCATCCATCCTCGATATCCATCCATCCATCCAGCCCCTATTATCAATCCATCCATCTCTATTATCCATATCCATCCATCCATCCATCCATTATCCATCCATCCATCCATCCTTCCAGCCAGACATCCTCTATTATCATCCCTCCATCCATCCATCCATCACCATCCTCCATACATCCATCCATCCCTATTAACCAGCCTTGTCCATCACATTCCAATACATTATCCCATGCATCCATCCAGCCATTTTCCATCAATCCATCCATGCATCCTAGGATCAATAATTTCATACTTACTTCACTTAATAATTTCTCACTCATTCAAGCCTATATTTTCAATTAACATTTTCAAGACAATTTATAAATAAATGCACTTAAATCATGTACATAATGCCATCCCATTATAATTCCTCCATCCATGTACATTCCATCAATACATACAGCCATACCTAAGTACATACTATAGTATCAGCCCATCCAATCCATACGCTAGTACAATCCATCACTCCAGTATACATCCATCCATCCGTTATGATCCTCAATACAATTCAAGCCATCATCCACCACATCCATCCATCCTTCCACAATCCACCCTCATATTGATCCATCATTCCTGTCAGCCAGCCATCACATCCTCAATTACCTTCCATCCATCCATCCTCGATTATGCACATACTTAATGGCATGCCATCCATACATAAATATTATCAAGCCATCAACTGCCATCCATTTACACCATCCATCCCTCACCTCCTTTCTCTATTATACATCCTTCCTGCCTTCAATCCTTCCCATCCCTCCAGTAATCCTCGATTTATCCATCCATTCCTTCCCATTTCCTTCCTTCCATCACTCCATCCATCAATAAGTACTCTATTATCCTTCCATCCATCCTCTATTATCCATCCATCCTGGTATCCATCCATCCATCACATACTTAAATCCTTTGGATCCAGCCCATCCTATTACTCATCCATCCCATTATACTTCCATCCAGACCCGACATCCTGCAGCTTTGTATCAAGCACATCATGCCATCATAATTACATAATAATGTCATCCTCTGATTATCCTTCCATTCCATCCAGCCTACCCTCCATCAACTTACCGCTATTTATCAGTTCAATCCATCATCTGTATCCATAAATCCCTCACTTCCTTCCTTCCTCTATTATCATAAAGACTTCAAATTTTCCATAAATCCTCCCTCCAGCCATCCTGTTATTATTATCCTTCCTTCCATCCATCAGCTGCCAGTTATGCAATCCATTACCCACCATCCAGCTCCTCCATCCATCCATACAGTATCCATCCATACATACATCCTTCCATGCCCATCCTGACATTATACTTCCATTATCCATCATCCAGCCCTCCATCCATCAGCAAGTATCCATCCATTTTCCATCCATCCATTCCTTCCCTCCACTATTAGCCACCATCCAGCCACCCATCCACCTCTATTACCAGCCATCCCCATCCATCTTCCATCAACATCCATCCCTCCATCCAGCCCTATGATCCATCCATTAGCCAGCAGATATCCATCCCATCCATCCATCCGTACATCCATCATTGTCCATCCATCACAGCATCCATCCTGCCATCCACTCCTTCCTTCATCTATTGATTCCATTCCAGACAGACAGACTCTATTATAAATACCATACATCCTGTTGCTATCAATCCAGCAGTTTAGTATCCTGCCATCCAGCATCCCATTCCATCCATCCATCCCTTCCAACCATCATGCATATAGTTACCAGCAATCCATTCATAATTCCTTCCATCCTCTATTAATCCATACCATCCACAATCACGCTAGTATCAATCCTGCCTACATCCATTCTCGATTATCCATCTCTTCCATCCATCAATCCTCTATTATCCATCCATCCATCACTTCCATCCATCCATTATCCATCCATCCATCCCTCCATCCATCCTCTATTATCCATCCATCCTTCCATCATCCATCCATCCCTCCATTCATCCTCTATTATCCATCCATCCATCCATCCATCCATCCATCCATCCATCCCTCCATCCCTCCATCCATCCTCTATTATCCATCCATCCATCCTCTATTATCCATCCATCCATCCATTATCCATCCATCCATCCCTCCTTTATTATCCATCCATCCATCCATCATCATTCCATCCATCCATCCATTATCCATCCATTATCCATCCATCCATCCCTCCATCCATCCATACATTATCCATCCATTATTCATCCATCCTCTCTTATCCATCCATCCATCCATTATCCATCCATCCATCCCTCAATCCATCCTTTATTATCCATCCATCCATCCATCATCCATCCATCCATTATCCATCCATCCATCCCTCCATCCATCCATACATTATCCATCCATTATCCATCCATACATACATTATTCATCCATTATCCATCCATCCTCTATTATCCATCCATTATCCATCCATCCATCCATTATCCATCCATCCATTGTCCATCCATCCATCCATCCATCCATCCATCCATCCATCCATTATCCATCCATCCATCCATCCATTGTCCATCCATCCATCCTCTATTATCCATCCATCCTTCCTCTATTATCCATCCATCCATCCATCCATCCAGCACTTTTTGCTAAAACCATCAGTTTATTTTTCCTTCTGTTTCACATAGTCAATGTTTCCGATCTCAATATACTGATTCTAATGTGAACAGTTAAAAGCGTCTTTTTAAAGGGTCTTTTTATTTTTTTAGTTTATAGACTGGAATCAGCTTTAAAAACCAATGGCTTAGTTTACTTGTTTTAATGTTAATATGCTTCTAAGACATGTTTTTTCCTTATAGAACCATATTTTTAACAAATTGATCCGTTTCAGTGACATATAGTAGTTTAATTTTTACTTCTGTCTGTGTCTCCAGGTGGCTAACCTACCTTCTGCTCCTCATCCTGGACCTGATCATCTGCCTGCTGGCCTGTCTGGGCCTGGCTAAGCAGTCCCGCTGGCTTCTCACCACGTGAGTCAATATGCACTATCAAACAGACACATGGGCACTGCTGTGTGGTTTTTTTCCCTGTTTTGAATAGCAGGGAGAAACATATAAAAAGTTACAGTGAAAAAAGTTCACTATATAAATGAAATATCAAGTGAGAGCGAAATGTGAGATTATAAAACCGTTTAACCTGAAGCCAAATAACGAGGTGAAATTGTTCTCATTTGTTTTTTCATTAGAGGTTGATTTGCTGAGATGTTAGAAGGGAGCACATTTATCCTCAAAGTTATAAAAGTCTACCATTGCTTTTCCATCATGTAGGATTTAACCAGGATTAGAATTATGAATTAGGTTTATTGGTTGCTCCCACTTACGTGCCCAAATCATTGTCTGTTCTGTTTTTCTCTTTGCTGCCCTGTGATAGACAGGTGGCCCATACAAAAACCACAGGCCGCTTTGTTCAATAATATAGTTTGATAAAAAGGAAATAAAAAATAAAAAATAAAAACACAAAAAGAAAGATTTATAACTGAAACTGAAATGACAGGACATGCCATTCAGGCCGGGTTATAAAAGCTTAACCAGCGCTTAGTGACTTGGGTTCCAGTTGGGAGCTAAGGGCCCTGTCTGTCATGATGTTTTTAAGAGATCTGACCCACATGCAGGAAACCACTCAGAGAAACCAGAGTAAAAGTTTAACAGGTTTATTGAGGAGTACAGTTGGGTTGGATTCAGGGGAACTGGAAGTGAGAGGGGAAGTTCACAGAGGTTAGATCAGGGTCCGTGGGAACTTTGAACGACGTCTTGCAAAAACAGAGATAAACGGGACTCATGATTGCGAAGAAAGGTTTCTTCCCAGAGTCCAGTCGGTGTTGGTTTTTCCAGAGATTGAGGGACTCATTGGAGGGCGGACAGGTTTTGGTTTGGCTTGTTCCTGAGGAGCAATGGAACGGACTGCCACTTAGATTTCCTGGAGAACTTGAACGGGACGTGTGGAGATTAATCCCCTGCTCAGTGTGAAGCTCAAACAATCCTTCCAGGGGGAGAAGGCCAAACATCCAATATGCAGGATGACTTCCTGCCGAAAGGCAAAAGACAAAAATCACGTTAGACTCAGAGAAGCAAAGACTCAGTTAGACTCAGCTAAACTCAGCTTGGCTAGAGTACCCAAAACTGGCAAACACTCTGGCGTCGAAGTAGTGGCAGTCCACTTCTTAAGAAGTCCTCAGTAATGAGCCAACCAGCCGCAGGGGTGTGGGAGGAGCAACGAGAACAGGGCGCCACCTGGTGGTGGAAGGGGAAAACACAAAAACACAACCCACACAGACTGGATTCCTAACACCGTCAATCCTTGCCGATTTATCCAGCGTATGCCTGACGTCCCAGAATCTCCTAAAACGCTGGCATACGCTGAAATTCTATGGATTTTTTCAATTTTGGGCGAATACATAGAGTATTCGTAACAAGTCCAGAACTTATGTCCAACAACAGCAATAACGTATGCATAACACACAGCACCATAATGCCCGCGAAATGATGGGCAAGCCAGTGTCCTGAGGGGGGCAGTGATGCACCAGGAGGCGCCTGGTCTGCATAAAAATATGTCTTTGATCGCGGTATTAACCCTAGCTGCTCGTCTGGAACACGTTGGATACGTTTTTTACCAACCCGTCTCCTAACTTCTGCTTAAACATCAAGGTAGCTGCTGAATAATAGTCACTGATTGCTGCTGTGATTCTCCTCCAGCCACTTAGCGACTTTGTACGTTAGTGAAATGCGACAGCAAATCCGATGACTCAATGCAAGAGATCCGATGATGTTACACCGAGAGGCGGGACAAGGGAGCAGCGGCAGAGAGGAAAAAAAACACTCAAGTCTCAAAACGCTCTGAACACTACAGAAGAGAATTAGGGCCACTGAAATAAAAAAAGTTAACTGATTTTTAAATTTTATTTCAGTTTAACATTCTGACCTTAATCTCAGAATTCTGACTTTTTTCTCAGATTTCTGACAGATAACAAACATGTTAGCATCAAGCCGTAGCCATGTCTGTTTTAGAGACTAGCTCTCTTGTTTTAATGACCTTCTGCTCCTCCATTAATGAGGGGACCCCTCAGGCACGTAAAAAGTTGCCTAATTCCGTCATTTTCCACCAATGTGCCACTGTTCCTCTCAACAACTCACATATTTGTCAGTGAAGCTGAGAGCTCCCACATCTCTTCCTTCATGGTGCCCATCTACATTAAAATTCTGAGATTAAAGTCAGAATTCTGAGAAAAAAAGTCAGAATTCTGAGATTAAAGTCAGAACTCTGAGAATTCAGAATTCAACTTTTTTCCCATAATAAACTGAAATGAAATTTAAAATATCAGTTAACCTTTTTTTTTTTTTTTTCAGTGGCCCTAATCCAGTGGTTCCCAAAGATTTTCTTCTGGGCGCCCCTTTGAATTACAATAAAATTCCCCCCCCCCAAAAAAAAAAACATCAACAAATAAATCAACTGGGCACACATATTGTTCAACCAGATATAATAAACCTATACATATATTTTGTTTTCAAACTCCACTGAAGTTTATTTCACTCTTCAGGTTGCAACAAAACAAACTACACACCATCTTTACAGTGGAACACTTGTGTAACTGTATTTTTTTCAGTTCTATACTGTAGATTAGAAGAGGTTTCTTTGTTGTCTGTGTTATTTTAAACATATTTGTTTGTTTTTTTTTAATTTGTAACAATATTTAACTTTGCTATCATCAATACAATAAAAAAGCCTCTGTGCAAAATGGAGTGAAAACATTGAACAGCTCCCTGAGAGTTTTTTCTTTGTACTTTAACCCTCCCATTTTTTCAGTGGCTGTAGTGAGCCTGCTTGTTGCTGCAGATCTTCTCAAATCTGGGTTGCAGTGTCACAACTGTCCATTATGCTCAGTCAAGCAAGCACTGTTTTTTTTTTTTTTTTTTTTTATTCATCCATACCGCTTCCCGCGCCCCCTCTGCAATGGCATTGCGCCCCCCCTAGGGGGCGCGCCCCACACTTTGGGAACCACTGCCCTAATCCTCTTCCTTAGAACACAGTTAGCTGCAGAGATTATTGGTGGGACATGTCCACACCAGTCCTTCAGAAAGTTATGCCTGTGCTCATAGGTTTTGATTAAGCTAGACGCCACGACTTATGAGTAACTTCACTGGAGAAATAAGTAAAAATCTCTTAGATTAAGTTTATTTACCCTTAATTTGAGTAGGTAAATCAGATAGTTTGCCAATGGAATTAGTATTTTTACTCTTAAAATAAGATAATTAGATAATATGCACTTGAAATAAGACAATGCAATTGTGTTTTCTTATTTTAAGTGAAATTGTCTTGTTCCATTGGCAAAATGTCTCTTTTACCTCCTTAATCCAAGAACAAACGCACCTATTTTAAGAAAAAATTACTTATCAAGATTTAGATTTTTTTCCACTGTTATACTTAACTTATGTCAACGATCCAAAAACATACCTGTAAATTATGCCCCTCCAGTGCGTTTCAGCTCATAGTGTATACAAAACGTCTCCATATGTTTTGCAGATTTTGATGGCTAAATCATGAAGGTGTGACATGGGATTAAGTTATGGTTTCAACTGCTATGTTGGCATGATAGCCATGTTACTCACAAACATTCAGATAAGACTTTTTTAAACAATACTTAACAACAATAATGAGAGTTTGGTTTGACTAATCATCCAGATTGAGACAGACGTTTTAAAGTTACCTGAAAAAGAAATGTTTTTGCAGATTAAAGTTAATTGATGGACATACAATTGCCTCACATAGTTTCTTTTCTCTGTTTTAAGTACTAAGAAAATCCTCCAAACAATTTCCAAGACAGGGAAGTCACCTCCTGCACATGTTAAACAGACACACATGGGGAGGAAGTTTGTTGCTAAACACTGGAAGAGGCGATCAGTAGATGTTTGTAATGATTCACTCCTAACAGAGGCAGATCGTGGAGCTTTGCTGTGGGCCGTCTCTACCTTCCCATGGGAAATATTCTGCGTAAAAGGCAGCTAAGCCCCGGTTCATATCCACGTACAAATACGGCTCTTTTTTCACCGTTTGCCTTTCAGTGCCGCCCGCAGCAGGCTGAACTATCTAAGATCGAGGCTACCTCAGCAGCTTTGCTCTGCAAATTGAAGTGAGGGCTGTTGGGAGTCGAGCCATTAGATGTTATCTACTTTATAACTTCCTGAGGATTGTTATCCCGCTGAAACAGTTGACCGGCTTTAAATAGCTATAAGCATGAATTAGAAAATGTTAACAGGCACAAAGATCGCAGATATGTGGAGTCCTGTATGGCATATCATTAATTATTTATCTTTGTCTCTTAAAGTGATGTTTACATTAATATTTAATGGGTTTGACTATTTAGGAGCCGCAGAAAAGCTGATTCTCTGCCCACACACTGCAAAAAATGTTAATCTTAGTACGTCATTTTTTCCTAAAATAAGTGATTTTTTCTTGAATTGAAGAGGTGAGAGTCTTTGCCAATGGAACAAAACAATTTATATTTAAAATAAGAGAAAAACTACTTCATTGTTTTATTTCAATTGCATATTGTCTAATTTTTTATTTTTTTTTTGCATAAAAATACTAATTCCATTGGCAGATCACCTTATTTACCTACTCAAATTAAGGGTAAATACACTGTTTTTGCAGTGCAAAGCTCATCTATGTTTAGGCTGATTTGGGACGCTGCAAAAACGATCTACATACATAAGTAAAATTTTCCTTAAATGCATTTCTTTACTCTTAATTTGAGTAGGTAAATAAGTAAGAGTATTTTTTACTCTTAAAATAAGAGAATAAAGTAATAAGAGAAAGCAATTGTGTTTTTTTATTTTAACGTAAATTGTCTTGTTCAATTGGCAAAGTGGCTTACCTCCTCAGTTCAAGACAAAATTCAGACAAAAGACAAAAAATTAAGAAAAAATACATTATTAAGATTTACATTTTTTTGCAGTTTATAATGTTTATTTTTATT